CGGCGGGCAGGCCCAATTGCTGGGCCGTCTGAAGATGAATTTTCAGGCTCGGACTCGGGCAGCCCAAAATGGACACCACGCTAGAGCCCGCCGCCGTGTGTCGCCGTCCGCTGAAATTTTTTTGAATTTTTCTGGTCAGGCCCGAATTGCCTGAATTTTGCCCGAATGCCCGAATTGCCCGATTTTTTCCCAAATGCCCGAAAACCCAAAAAAGGGTTAAAAATTTGACCGTTGGAGCCTAACCCGACCTGAAGCCCGACTTGCCTGAATTGCCCGACCTGCCCGACTGCCCGAATTGCCTGAAAACCCGTCCAATAGTTAGTTTTTTTTATTGTTGCCTAAATTTCTGCCCAAACCCACCCGAACCCGACCTGCTGAAATCCTAAACTAGTCGTTGTACCTAATTTGTTTTTATAAAAAAAAAAAAATTTAACCCAAAAATTTTCTTATAAATACCCTTCATCCCCCACACATTTTTCTCACTCAAACTCTCTGAATCTCTCTCAATTTCTCTGAATCTCTCTGAATCTCTCAAATCTCTATCACAATTTTTCTAAAAACTATCACATTATTCTAAAGCTCTCTCTCAAATCGCTCTTATTTTTTTATAATGGATCCTTTTGGTTATAATGGTATTCCCGTTGATGTCCAACACAACGTGAAAGAAGAGCAATTTCCCACTAATGAATTTGTTACGCGGGAATCTACTAATCCGAATCCTGGTGGACGTACTGGAGGTCGTGGTCGCAATGGTGGTAGCCGTGGAGAAGCGGCGAGTGCCAGTGTGACTGCGTCCATCGCGCAACCGGTGGTCTAACCACTTGGAAATATGATCCGCAAATAGATCGTATGGAAGTTGCACGAATGATAACTGCTTTAGATCAACCACTTATTTTTGTAGAGCATCCTAATTGACAACGATATATTAAGATTGTACATAATCCTAATGCACAGTTCACTTTAAAAACTACTCTTAGGAAATATTTATTAAAATTATTTAAAAAAAAGAAGCATTAATAAACCTTTTACACTCGACTAGCGGGTGCGTTGCGTTAACGACAGATATTTGGTTTGTCGTTACCAATAAAGATTATTTAGCTGTAATTGGACATTGCTTTAAAGGATTTCATTTAGATAAGAGAATATTAGGTTTTAAATGTATCACATAGCGCATATTTAATATATAATACCGTTTTAAATGTAATTGATGAATTTAGATTAAAAGATAAAGTAATGGTTATAACATTATCTAATGCTAGTGCCAATACAAAAGTAATTGAGTTCTTGAAAATGATTTAAGTTTATTCGGTGACGGTACTATTTTTCACCAACGTTGTGCATGTCACGTAATTAATTTAATTGTTAAATCCGGTTTAAAAGAAATGAGTAATCACATTAAAAGAGTTAGAGATAGTCTTGCATAGATTCAAGGTAGTAACCAAAGACAAGAAGATTGGTTTAAGTTCTTACAAGCATTAAATATACCTCTTAGAGCATTAGCGTTAGATATGCCTATAAGATGGAACTCAACTTACATAATGCTTCAACAATGCATCCCTTATAAGAATGCTATAACAAACTATATGTGTGTAAAAGTAGGAGTATGACATATAGACGCGTATGATTGGCAAATTGCCGAAGTTTTGTATCAATTTTTAGGTAGGTTTCATGAAGTAACTCTAAAACTTAGTGGAATATATTACCCAACATCACTTTTAGCTTTAGGAGAACTTTTACGAATTAGTATTTTATTTAGCGAATATAGGGAGGACCCAATCTTAGGAGTTTCTATCCATTCTATGGAAGAAAAATTTATAAAATATTGGTCTAAGTTGCCTTGTAGTATGATTTAGGTACTATTTTTGATCCTAGATTAAAATTAGAAGGTTTAGAAAGTGGTTTAAAAAACTTAAGTGAATTTTTAGGCATCAAATGTTCGGACCAATATCCAATAATAAAGGAAAAAATATATTCGATCTATAATAAATATGAAATTAGGTTTAGAGTACCTCCTAGAGTACAAGAACCGCAACAACAAGACGAAAATCCGCATTCATTCTTAAATGTTTTCGGGTTGAAGAAGAAGAAGAAGACAACTCAAACAGAAGCTGTGAGTGAATCTTCGTCAACAAGTGGCAGTGGCAGCGACGGCGGTAGCTTCAACGAGCTTATGGCGTACCTCAGTGAAAGCTTAGTAGTCCACAGTATGACAGAATCGTTTGACTTACTTCAATGGTGGAGGGCACGGACATTAACTTGGCCAATCCTAACTCGATTGACAATGGATATTCGATCCCAGTCTCCACTATTTCATTTGAACAAGCCTTCAGTACGACAGGAAGAATACTTGAGGAACGTTGGAATGCATTACAAAGGGATATTGTTGAAGCCTTGGTTTGCATTAAGGATTGAGATCGGGCCGATCAACGTCTACAGGATACAATTTCGCCGGCAAGCCAAGAATGGATCGATGAATTTAATCGATTAACATTTAATTTTGAAGACGATCCTTCAGCTTCACATTAAATTGTAAATTTATAATTTGTAAATATATATTTACTTTTCACATTGTATTTGTAATTGTATAACTTTGTAAGTTTATAAAATTTGTAATTCGTCACAAAATGATTGCACTATTTTTTTCTTGCCAAGTTTTTATCACAATTGGGTTTTTCTTTGTAAGATTTTTAACGAGACAATCATGAATTACGAATTTAATATACATCATTAATATACATGATTAATTTATTCAATTGTGTTAATAATGTCTGTTGAATGTTGATTTTAATTTTTATATAATTTTAACACAAACTAACTTAATAATTATAAATATTGTAAAATATTAAAAAAAATTCAGGCTATTCGGGCGGGCTCGGGCTGCCCGACCGGACTCGAGCAGCCAAATATAAGCCCACGGCCCATTCAAAGGCATTTTCGGGCTCGGGCGGGCAGCCCGAATTTTTTGGGCGGTTCGGATCAGACATCGGGTAAAAAATTGATATTTTCGGGAGGTTGCGGGTGGCCTGTCCAAAGTTCCAACATTGTGTGAGTATCCTAATGTGCTGGTAAGGGGAATAAAATAGAAACGTTTCATTCCCCACTTTTTTTTTTTGTTTGAATTCTTTTTAAATTATAATGTATTAATATTTTTAAAAAAATACAAAAAACTCATCCCTCGATCAGCTTGCTTTCCGGCCAAGGGATAACCCTATTTTTGACAACCGAATCACCACTTGTGTAGGAAGTCGAGTCGGTTTGTGATGTGAAACTAACTTTTCAGTTTTTGCACTGTCGGTTTGGTAGTTCAGTGGTCGATTTCAGTTTTTCATTTTTTTAAACACTCCTAAATATCTTTTGGATTCTAAAAGATCTCAGGTTTTATCAATTAAAGCATGTCGTAGATACTTCATAGCAGGAAGCTCTAACTAATCAATCTTACGAATCAGTGATGAAGCCAGAAAATATTTTCAGGGGGCTTGAATTAAACTACAATTTTTAAACTAAACTAATTGTGTAGTAGTGTATTATTAGAAGTAAAACCTAAAAGTGAATACGAAATTTTTTTATGTTATACAGATACATATTATAAAATTTTAAAGGGGCAAAATAATTTAATTTTGAGTAAATTATACTGTTGCACAAAAATAAGATCTTAAGTTCAAATATCTGCAGCTGCAACTGTAGCTTTTCATGTGAGGAGCCATTTTTTTACTACACGTAGAGGGAGAAGGAGAGTGTTTGAATATAAAATTATTATTAGCCATCTTCTTACCACTTTTACCTTTTTCGAGTGAATAGTTAGACCAACTTTTATGACAGATCTTTCAAGATTGCAACACGTAAAAACAAACAACTCAACTAACAGAACAGCGACACTAAGAAGTGATAAACGACATCATGCTAATGATATATTGTTTAATAATCTAGCAACATCAATAGCTTCATTTCCATGAAACCCAAATTATTCATTTTCCACAACTTGTTCAAAGCACAAAAAACACACAAGAAAAATATCAACACAAGATACAAACAAGGCCAAATTCAAAAAATTTACCTTGATGGCTTCAAGTAAATTTAGCATGGTTGAGAAGGAGAAAATTTATACATCCTTATTGTCCAATGACGAATATCAACAAATCATTCTTGCCAGGTAACACTCTCCAAAATCTGTAGCAACATTTTTTTCCGTTAAATTTTAGTCATGTTTCACTTAGCAATCCAAGTTTTTCAGCTCTTGGAACATATGCTCGAAAATCAATGTTATAAAATATGCTGTAATGGTATCTCTATATAACATCAGAAGAGGGAATGAGAAGCGTAACCTCAAGCTAAGCAAACCTGATGCATGGGCATACCTCGAACACGTCCCGGGAGTAGGCCTATGTGTGCCTTGGGCCTTGAAGAAGTGCCTTACAGGTAGTGCTCGGAGAGTGTGCTCTCGGACATGATCCTAGCCCCTAGGTGCTATAAGGATTAAGATTTGCGCCTCACCAAATTGTCATGACTTTTGAGAGAAATGATCGTTTTTATCCTATACCAAAATCAGCTATGAGACAGTCTAAAAAAATGCATGAGCAGCAGCAGCAACAACAAGAATAAAAAAACTAATCAATCACCTTAACTATATCTTATCATATGCTGGTGTAAATCGAACTCAACAGTTATTCTTCCACTTCCACTTGATACAGGCTTGCTGAAAGCATCAGTCGGTCCATCGATTAGATATAGGTTGTAAGGTTTGAAACCGAATTCCTCTCCATCTTGGCGATATAGCATGCGGATTCCACACCTTATTACTTTGGTCCTGCTAGATCTCACATATGTCTCATTAATCCATTCGTCAAAGAAAAACTCGAACGATGCCTCTGCTGCATCTTGATCATACATTTGGCATTGAAACCAAGTGAATATATGAGGAGAATTTAAAGTTGGCACATCATCCTCAAGAGAACCACCATTAAATCTCCAAGGAAATAGTTCCGTTTTACTATGGTTGGTTTTCAACAGGCGAAAATAAGAAGAAAGACGCAAGGAAACGGGGTGAGGATAATAGTCCCCAGAAGCAACAGCGCATACAACGAAGCCCAGGAAATTGGTCTTATTCCATTGTGGAGGAAGCTTGATCTTAATTGAAGATCCCTCAGATCGATAGTTGAACCACTCCGGAACTTCACTTCCTGGAAAACAACAATTAACACTTGGGATATAACCCTGCACAAAAAGGACATAGTCATGCTTATTTTAGTATGTACTGTTAAATTAAGAACATTTGACTTTAAAATATAAAAACGAGACATATACCAGATAATCTCCAGGCTCGTATCGCAATGCCTTGCGTAGAACTCTATACCGGAAGTTAATCATAACATTGCTGGAGTCCAAATTTAGGCATCCATAAAATAAAAAGGATACCACACTTTCTTCTCTAATGTGATAGTCATCACAACTAGCCCCTAGTGCCAGTACTTTTTCTGAATTGGGCAGTGTTTCTAGTAATGGGCACTCACTTGCATCAAGATACTCCAAACACAGAGGAAGCTCTGTTAAAGATTGGAGGTTCTTGCAATTCTTTATGCGCAGACCTTCCAACTTCGAAAGTCGCTTAATGCTTGGAGGTATTCTGGTGATGCTTGTTCCACTTAGATTTAATGATTCTAATGAGGTCAAACCAGCTAATGTAGACAAACGATCTAGCTTTTGACAGTTAGAAAGCGAGAGGATCTGAAGAGAATGCATAATACACATCTTGTTCGGAAGACCCTCGAGACTTCTACACCAACTTAAATCTAAATGACGCAGTCGAATTAAATTATGAATCGACGAGGGTAACTGTCTAATCCCGGTTCCATTTAACCGAAGAACTCTTATGTTTTCTATAGGCTCCAAAATTTCTGGAAAGTTTCTCAAATTTGAGCAATTAGAGAGAACAAGCTGAGTGAGATACCTCAACTTAAAAATGCCGCTCGGAAGACTCTCAAGCCTCTGGCAGCTAGACAAATGAATACTCTCGAGACGCGAGAGAGATTCAATTGAAGATGGAATTTCTTTTATTGGCGATCCCCCCAAAGCCAACTCTTTCATATTCTTTGGAAGTTCTGGAATATTTTCAAGAACAGAGCACCGACGAAGTTCAAGAGATTCGATGAACTCCAGCTCATGAATACTGCTTGGAAGACTCTCAAGGCATTCACAATTTTCGACAGACAATAAGGAAAGATGGCTGTGAGAGCCAATGGATGAGGGAACTTCCTTTATTGAAGTGGAATCTAAGTATAAGCTTTCCATACTCGTCCCGATTATCTGTGGAATACTAGTGAGACGACAGCAACCACTGAGCTTAAGAACTTTAAGTGCTCTGGCAACAATTGTGTCTGGAAGACTGGATAGACTTGTGCAATGGCTCAAATTGACATCAATAAGCTTGTCAACATTTTGCAAATGACTCGAAGGAACTTCAAGCAAACTTGTACAGTGTTCAAGATTTACAATCTCAAGATTTGGAGCCCCAGACAGATTTGGGAATTGAGCAAGTTTCGTGGAATGACCAAGATCGATGTGTGTTAATTTCTCAAGAGGCTGTAAGAAAAAAGAGAAATTAATGTCAAGCACGCCTAAAGCATATCATTCATGCATTGTACAGAATTCTTAAATACCAACAAATTTTGAGCCGTACCTGGGCTATTGATCCATCCCAAAGTTGTTCAAGCTGACTATAGGGCATTTTAAGCTCAACAAGATTCCGCAGCATAGATTTCGATGGCAAGGAATTTGCAGGGAACGCTGGCCACTCGAGATATCTAAGTGCACGTGGAAGAGACCGGAGACCTTCGGGAAAGTATACTTTGCACTTGTTGGTATCACAAAAACTATAAATTTTAAGCAATCTTAGATTAGACATGCCTTGGAAAACCATAGCACTCAAGCGTATATCTTCGACCATTTTATCTACGTCCAGGATTATCTTTTCAATTGCTTCAGTTCCCTGCCAACAAAGAGCAAAGCTAGGATAAGCATTTATTACATGAACTAATAAGCAGTTTTCCGCTAAGGTGTGTTCTGTTTACAAAGTTTAGGCAATTTCAAAACATATTGAGAATTCTCATTGGCACTTACTTTATCATCCTCCAAGACGTCACAGACTTCCTGAGCAATCCACAACCTGCTGCGTTTTCCGAGCTTTTTGGATTCTTCGCGAACAATTTCCCATCCCATTTCTTGCAGTAGATCATGCATCCATAGCTGTCTCTCATAACCTCTCGTTGTTAGGAGAGACTTCTCTATGAGATTCTCTATCAGCCAATTTGCAGATTTATACAAATTTTTTAATACATCCGCTGCATCATCTCGATACGTTCCTTTAAAGAAACAAGCGATATCAAGAAAGACGGCCCTCTCCATCTTATTTAACCCTTTATAACTTATTACTAACTTCTTCTGAACATTTTCAGGGGAACATTCTTTCAGTGTCTCCAATGTCATCTCCCACGGTTTTCCCTTCAAAACACAAGATCGAAGATAAGAACCCAAAGTTTTAATAACCAACGGAACCCCTCCGGCATATAGTGCCACCTCTTTTGACACCTCTACATAATCTGATCGAGGAGACTCAATTCCCTTAAATGCGGTCAAACTAAAAAGCTGATGAGCATCATCATAATCCAATTGCCTAACCTCATATTTCTTAACCTCATATTTTGCATTAGCATTAATATTTGTAAGCACCTGCAAATCTCTAGTGGTTACTATAATTCTACTTTCAGGGCCAAACCAATCACCGCCAGCTAAATATTCGAATTGCTCATAATCATTCACATCATCCAAAACGAGGAGTACCCTTTTGCGGCGGAGCCTCCTAACCAAAGCCGGTTTCAAGGACGGATTTCCTGAATATATATTTTCATCCTTTAGAAGTTGGGCAAGAAGCTCGTCTCGCAAGCTTCTTATTCCGAGTTTCTCTGTTTCTTCTCTAACATTTGCAAGAAAACAAGAACCTTCGAATTGAGAAAGTAGCTGCTTGAACACGACATCGGCAATGGTGGTCTTGCCTATACCACCCATTCCACAAATGCCAACAACATGAACATCTGTTGACTGAAAACTTAAAAACTTTTTGATTTTTCTAATGTGTTTTTCGATTCCAATTAGGCCTTCCAAACCATCACTTGATGTTAGATTATTTAATTTGCGCAAAACATCTCTGACGATTTCCTCAATTAATTTGGCTTCAACCCTATAAATGAAACGATAACACTGTAGTATAGGTGAAAATATCAATATGCATTGCAATTGATTATATATATAACTATAACTACTGACAAATATGTAAATAGAAATAGATTAAAACAAAATCCTGAGAACAGAATTTGTCAGTCAGAACATTAGCAGAATAATAAATGGCTGCCATGTTAACTTTAATCCACTCAACTTACTTTATAGTGATATTAAAACTCAAATCAGCGTTTTCTAAAGTTTTTTTTTTTTTTTTTTAAGTCCAAGTAATCGTGATTCTAATCCAAAACTTAACTCAAACAGTTCTAGACCCACATTATAACTCATTCTTCGTTCTTTTAAACCTATATATATAATCACTCTCGAAAACCGCCGTTTTTGTCGAGAGTTCGAGTAGAAAACTTAAGCTGAAATTTGAACTTTGCGAGAGAAAACACTGTTAAAAAAAAAAAAAAAAAAAAAAACCTGTCTTTCGAATCCCATCCAGAGAGATTGGCAGCTGTTTCCAACGCAGATCTCCATTCTCGTACCTTGTTCATGCTGTCCTTGAACCTCTCCTCATGTTTTTCAAAAGCTTCTCCATAACCCCCTCGCTGTTTCCGTATATCAGAGGGATCAACATGGTAAAATATAGGCAAAACAATTTGTTTCTCCTTGTTGTGGCATTCGAGTATATGAACCAATTCCGTTAAGCACCACGATGAAGAAGCGTAGTCTCTGGAGAAGACGACAATGGCGATGTTGGATTGGCGGATCGCATCGACAAGTGCCGGAGTAATTTCATCTCCTCTTTCGAGGCTGTTCTCGTCAATGTAGGTCTCGATATCTTTGTCGCACAAGGCTTTATAAAGATGGCTTGTGAAATTGTTTCGGGTGTCTTCGCCTCTGAAGCTCAGAAACACATCATACTTCTTCAAGCTCCAAAGAGAAGCAGAAGCCGCCATTGTTCACTGCTATTGAAATGAATTGTCCAAATGGTTCTTCTCAAATCTTTGTTAGTTTTTTTTAATAATAATAATTATTATTATTATGAGTGAGTGAGACAGTTGTTATTATTTAATGGCAAAAATCTAATACAAAAAGGATTGGAAGTCGTGCTTTCTCCTTTCTGTCTTTTTTCAGTTGTTATTTTTGTTTTTTCCAAAAAGACAATGCCCAAAATTCTACCATAGATCCGTGCATTGTGAGGTGCATTTATCAAGGCCGAGAATTGAAAAATAGTTAAAAGTCGTATGCTAACTAAAAATATGAGAGTTTCGGCTCCAAATTGATAAGATTAATTTCTAACTTAATAGACTCATTAAAATCATATTAACTTATAAAAGTATGCAGATAATAATTTTTAATACAAATTTAATGTTTAAAAACATGATTATTTCAGTAGTTTATTTTTGTAGGACCTACTAGAGAAACTCTCACAAAATATATATATAAGTAGCAAACTAAATTTAAAAGAAAAACTTAAAAATAAAAGAGTTTATGTGCTGGAACTAGAAAAAATGAACTATATATAATTCTCTAGTTTCACCATCAGATTTGTATTAAAAAAATATTAATTCTACATATTTTTTTGATCTGATGAGAATTTAACATGACCGGATTAAACAATCAGAAACTTGCCTTGTTGTTAGAGAGATCTGCCGGAGAAAACCCTAAAACTCGAAGAAAAAAGTAAAATAAATCTTAAAGTACGTAAAAAAATAAATGTAGCTTTATTGCATGGCAGTGGCGTATTCGTAGGGTGAACATTAAATCAAGAGAATATTTTTTATAACCGACATACTGGTAAGACTAATTTTTTTAATTGTTTGATCTGTATATTTATTTTTCATTTGATGTGATTTTATGTAAAAAAATTGATCCTATTAGTATGTCGGCTTACCATAGAAGCTCCCAAAAGAAAATAAATATAGTTTCAAAGTCATTTGTAAATCGACTACAAAGTTTAAAGGTGAAAAAATGGAAAGGTCAATCAATTTTCAAATATCAAATATAACAAAAAATTGTAATGCATATAGGTTAATAACAATAAATTATAAATGAAAATAATGTAAATTCTTAAGGAAGCCCCTTCATTTAAAAAACGAGAATATTTGAAAACAAAAAGAAAGAAAGAAAAATGGACTGGATGTCATCTTAAACATGATTTGATTAATGGGCCTGTTTGGTTTTGTTTTTGTTTTCATTTTTCACGTTTTTTGAAGCAAAAAATAAAAACACAAAGTGAAAACGCGTTTGGCACAAAATTTTTTAAAAAACAAAAACAAAAACGTTTGTCTTTTTGTGAAAAACTGAAAACGGAAAAAATCCGTTTTCGTTTTCAGCTGAAAAAGCTGAAAACTGATTTCAGTTTTTTTTTCTTTTCTTCTCTCTCTTCTCCAGCCGACGAAGAGGCGGGAGATCCGGCGAACAAAACAAAAACAAAAACGTTTGTCTTTTTGTGAAAAACTGAAAACGGAAAAAATCCGTTTTCGTTTTCAGCTGAAAAAGCTGAAAACTGATTTCAGTTTTTTTTTCTTTTCTTCTCTCTCTTCTCCAGCCGACGAAGAGGCGGGGGATCCGGCGAACACACACCGTCGCTCCTCT